AAAATTCCCGTGGGAGGCTGGGCACAGTGGTCCACGACTGTCACCCTAGCTACTTGGGAGGCTGAGGCAGGAGGATGGCAAGTTCAGAGTCTAGCCTCAGCAATTTAGGGAGACCCTGTCTCCATAAAAAAAGCTGGGGGCTGGGGCTGCAGCTCTGTGGTAGAGCCCCCTGGGTCTGATCCCCAGTACAAAAAGAAAACAGAGTTTCAGGGGGGACAGTCCAAGCCAAGGCTCGCACCCATCTCTCAACAGCCAGATGCCCCTCCCCTGCCGGGAATGGTCCTGGTGGCTGTGTACACAGAGTGTCCCTCTCCCTCTGACCAAGGGTGGGATGCGGTCCAGGCTTCAGCCTGGAGTTCGAATCTCAGACCTGGACCTGGGAGCGAGGGCCCACAGAGGCTCAGAGCGGCTCAGCCGTCCCTTGGATGAGTAAGGCCCCCGAGTGACCGAGCGGATGAGCGAATGAGTGGGTGAAATGGCGCGCCCTCGGTGACCTGTGACCAGCTCCCAGCCGGACCAGCCGCTGGTGGGTCGAAAATATCCCTAGTGGAAAACCCGTTTAATACACCTGGATGGTCAGACCTGGCACCTGGGCGGCACCCTCTGCTGCAGCCGGTCGCTGGCCCTCGTGTGGTGAGGCTCACCAGAGCTGCGACCGTTGACCGCTCGCCACCAGCTGGGGAGAAGACCGAAATCCAGATGTGAAGTGTGATTGCCCCTGAGGGTGTGTGGCATTGGCACCACCGTAAAATCGAAAAATAACCTGAACATCTCCATAGAGGCACATATGTATTTCATAAATGTTCAATAAATGATCTTTATTGCATACTTGCCATCTCTAGGTCAATAGTTAGTAACTGTATGTCATATTTATTTATGACTTTTTTTAGTTGTCGATGGACACAATGCCTTTGTTCATTTACCTTTATGTGGTGCTGAGGACGGGACCCGGGTCCTCACACCTGCTAGGCGAGCACTGTGCCACTGAGCCCAGCCCAGCCCTGTATGTTATGTTTATAAGTTTCCACCATCATTTTCTGTTGCTTGCTACCAAAGAACCCAAGCTGACACACTGGTGGTGATGACTGTTGGATCCCAATAACAGAATGCTGGTCTAAGCAAAAAATCAGAAGAAAACAAAAATTTAGAACCCAAACTTGCAGTGACAAGAATGCCATGGAAAGACCCCAGAGTATCTTAGAAAAAGAAGGAGTGAGAAGCCCACGGCCGGGGCAGCTTTGGAGGGCCCAGGAGGAGGGCACGTAGTGTCCTGGGATGTCTGCACTTGTTCCCAGCCTTGGTGCCTCATGGCCACAGGTGGTGGGCTGGGGACAGCTCAGTTGGTAGAGAGCTTGCCTCTCATGCGTAAGGTCTTTAGATTCTTGTCAATGGTTGACTCCATGTCGGTGACTCCTAAGCTGCAGAACTTCACATTTTAATTCTCAAGTCAGAAGACCTAACCGGCCCGGGGAGCATTAGGGGTCCCTTCCAGCGAGGTAGGGACCTGCTGACCCAGATACCTGGTCATTCAGAGTACCTCTGTGCTGGGCAGGCCTTAGGAACTGACCCGGAGATGGGCACGGCTTGTCCTCCAGCAGACAAGGCCCAGGGTGGGAACCGAGAGAGGGTAGACGTGGCCTGGGAACAGCTGCCTCTCAGAGCCCAGGCTAGTCCCCCAAGTGGGCTGTGGCACTGGTTCCATGATCCCCCTGAGGACAGGCCCAGGAGGACTCCTGCTCTGGGAAGTGTCAGGCCCAGCCCATGGACGCCCCCCTCCGCGTTCTGACTTGGTGGGGCAGCATCCCTGCGGCTGGGACTCCGAGAGGAGCAGGGGCCAGTTAGCAGGTGCTGCTTCTTCCCTGGCTCAGATGAGGTGCAGATGACGACGGAGGAGCCTGATAAGAGGAAGGGTCTTTCAGGGAGGGAAGGCTGTCCCCGAGAGAGCAAGCTGGCTGTCCTCAAGTCGGAGGCTGCTGGGGAAAAGCACCCCTGAGCTCCCGAGTTGCCTGCTGCGGCTGAGGCGTTCGGGGGAGTCTTTGTGGGGAGTCAAAATCCTGCGTGAGCAGATCGGAGCCTGGAGCCATTGATGGTTGAAATCTGATGACCTTAACTGCACTTGTAGCTCATGACACCTGGGACAGTCAACAGCGCTGAGAGGAGGTAGCATTGCGTGTATTTCACAAATTGGAGATGAAGGTAATGGGTCTGTGTCACCTTTCAAAGGCACCATCGACCTAGGGAACCAGGGAGCAGGGATCCAGTCCTATGTTAGGTCTCTACGTTGGGAAGCATTGATTTCAACAAAACAGCCAACTAAAAATCCCTTGCACAGAAAGGAGAACATCTTAACTTTTATGGAAGTGGAAGTCTGGAACAGGCTTACCGCCAAACGGCTGGGTTCTCCCCGTCTTTCTGTTCTGTCCCTATGCAGTCCTCGCAGCATTGTCCCGGACCCGGGGCGTTCCCAAGACCTTGTTCCTCAAGGAGGGAGGAGGGTGGCTGAACTCCCCAATCCCACCTTCCACCCCAGCTGCTGCGTTCTTCCTGGTCTTTACGAATCATTCGAAGATGCTATTTGCCTTTTTGGCCCCAATTCTCTTCTGCAGGCACAATGGAATCTTCCAGAGGTTACATGATACATAATGACCCCACCCACTCTGGTGCCGAGGGAGTGTGTGCTTATGCAGTCCTGTATTTCTAGAGTTTTTTTTTTTTTTTAATATTTATCGTTTAGTTTTCGACGGACACAACATCGTTGTTTGTATGTGGTGCTGAGGATCGAACCTGGGCCGCACGCACGCCAGGCGAGCCCGCTACCGCTTAGCCACATCCCCAGCCTGGAAGCCACTATTATGCTCACTCTCATTGGCCAGAACTTAGGACATGGCCACGTGGAGCCGCAAGGGAGTCTGGGAAAGAATTCTGCTATCACAGAAAGGGGAGAACCCGATGGGCTTGCACTGATTGTCGTTCCCTCCCAGGTCTGGGGTTTGTCTCCCCAGAATGATGTGTCCTAATACTGAAACAAACCAGTTGGGTTAGTGAGGAAGGAGAGAGGAGGGCGGCTGAACTACCCAATCCCACCTTCCACCCCAGCTGCTGCGTTCTTGGTGGCCTTATTGTTGATTATCAGTTGGAACCTGGTAAATAGTTTCTGCTGCTCTGATAAATGGAACTCTGCTCCATCTTGTCAGAAATTCACACGTTCTTGTACTCTGGCCTCAAATTCTGGATTTTTCACTTACTAGTCCAATGATGGGGCTGGATGATTCGACCACTCTGAGAATCAATACCTTCTCTATAATGCTGTTTTGAGGATAAGAAGAAAATTCTGGAAATAAGGAACTTTACCTGGGACCTGAAACATAGTAGCTGTCTAACCCTGGGGAGACCCGTTTTTAAGCCACAGGTAACCTTCAAACTGAAAAGCCATGCCCTCCCGGGGCTCTGAACAGGTGCGGCCACATTTCCTGGTCTCTATTTTTCCTCCTCTTCCCAAGGAAGCTTTTCCTGGCCATCGTGACCTACAGTAATATTTCCCTTTTGTCTCAGCTAGCTAATACTGCGTAACAAGTTATCCTCAAATTTGGTGACCTGAAACAAGGACAACTTTTACTCATGAATTCATCTGTGGTCTAGCTCGGGCTCAGCAGGGACAGCTCATCTCTACTTAGCATCCCTGGAAGGCTGGGGTGCAGCTAGAATCATCTGAAGGTTCATTGAATTGTGCTGCCACTGAACTGGGGAGAATCAAACATCTGGGGCTGGAACAGATGTTCTCCAGCATCTCTCTCTATCCTGTGTGGTCTCTCAACATAGTGGCTTCAAGGGTAGCCAGGCTTCTCGCTTGGTGGCTCAGGGGCCCACAGTCTCATACTTTAAGATAAAGAGAGTCAGGTGGAAGCCACAGCTCCTTTTATGAGCTAACCTTAGAAGCCGCACAGCCCCACCTTTGCTTCATACAGGTAGGAGGCAGTCATTAGGGTGCCATGTCATCCTTCTTTGTCTATGAAGCTCACATATGACCACCATGTCGACACTTCAATTCACGGGAATGGGAGACAACATAGGGCAAGCCTTAAGTAGCTTCTGAAGGAGGCAGAGATGTCCTTTATGTCCTTATCCCAGTAGCCAGACTGGGTCACCAGGTCACAGGAGTTGTGAGGCAGGTGGAAACTGTCTTCTCCCATCGAGTAGCTGTGTGCTCAGCTAAAACCTGCAAGACACTATGATGGTCCCTTGTTTCCATGGGGACTGGTTCCGGGAACCCCCACAGGTACTGAAACCCACGGATGCTCAAGTCCCTGATATTAAATGGCATTTTTATTTGCATAGAACTTACACAAGTCTCCTGTAGACTTTAAATCATCTCCAGATAGCTTATCACAGCTGATGTAATGTAACTGATGTGGACATAGTACTTACACTGTGTGGCTGAGGGAAAAACGACCAGAATAAAAAACTGTACGTGTTCAGGACAGAAGCAATTATTTCCTTTTCCTGAGTATTTTCAATCTGAAGTTGGTTCAGTCGATAATTACAGAACCTATGGATCTGGAGTTTTTTTTCTAAAAAGAAAATGGGGAGAATATACAGAGAAGGTCAGTATATCGTCTTTGCCACACTCTTGAGTAAATGGATGAACCCCTAGAGGACCCGGTGGAGTACTGGGTCTACTGCTGACCAATACTTTGTCCACATCAGCTGAGGACAGCAGGTGTGGCTCACTGGTGGAGCATTGCCTAGCATGCCTGGGCCCTGGGTTCCATCCCTAGAACCATGACAGACAGACAGAGGGAAAGAGAGAGGGGAGGAAGAAAGGCAGGCAGGAAGGAAGAGAAACAGCTGGAGGGGTGACAGGTGAATGATTGACAAGCCTCGGGCTGATGAATTGCCCGGAAGGTTGCAGATGATCCGCTGGCTGGTGACTGAGGGATTGGACTCAGGAAGCCCCTGCCGTCCCCTGTCCTGACAAGCCCCCTCCCACGTCTCTGTTCCAGTTCAGCAACATCTCCTTCCTGATCTTTGGGCCACTCATGATGTTCCTCATGCACCCCTACACCCAGAAGCGCTCCCGCTACATCCATGGTACCTTTGTCCTCTTCACGATCATTGGTAGGTGTGGCTCTGCCATGGAGAGGAGGTGGGCGTGGGCACGGGTCGCCCCTGACGCCTCCCCTTGCCTCTGCCTCCCCAGGCCTGTTCTCCATGTACTTCCACATGACGCTCAGCTTCCTGGGCCAGCTGCTGGATGAGATCGCCATCCTGTGGCTACTGGCCAGTAGCTACAGCATCTGGATGCCCCGCTGCTACTTCCCCTCCTTCCTCGCAAGGAACAGGTGGGGCAGGGGCTGTCTGTCGGGACAGGGTGGCCCCTGTGGAGCTCTGTGGATCCTCACCTGTCCCCCATCCTGGATCCTTGCCCTGAGCCATTTGGGGGCCTTAGAATCCCTGGCCAGACCCCCTGGGGGTCTCTCCCCACCCTGCCTCACTTACCTGGACTTCCAGCCTCCTCCCCCGATCCCACCTTGATAGCCTGGGACCTTCTCCAGACTTTGTCTGAGCCACCTGGAGATGCCAGGACCCCGGGCCTAAGCCCTCCTGGGCCCCAGGATCCCTCCCCCAGTCTTTCACCTGGACTCCTTGGAACCTTTCAGCCTCTCCTCCCGGGCCCCTGGGACCCTCCGACGTGACTGGAGGCCCTTGCAAACCTCTCCTAATCCTGTGTGACCCCACCTAAGGCTTCTAGGACGCCACCCTCTCACCACCCCAGACACCCCATCCTCACAGTCCCTCCAGGGCCCTGAGGTCTTTTGTCGGACCTCTCCTTAATGCACGGCGGCCCATGGATCTTCCTCCCAGCCTACTGGGTTCCCTTGAGCTTCTTGCGGAACTCACCGGCCTCCGGAGCCTTGACCAACTTTCCTGGACTCCTGAGACCCTCTCATCCAGCTCGGCCTCCCCGGGACCCCTCATCGGACTCTCCTGAGCCCAAGCTCAGGATACATCCTGGGCTTCCTTCCCGGAGCCTTTCTCCTTCCTTTCCCTCTCTGGCCACCGTAAGAGGACCAGGCTTGACCCTCCAGGACCTCCTGTCACTCACAGCTGAGCCCCTCTCCCTCCAGGTCCCACTTCACCTGCCTGGTCATTGTCACCACCATGATCAGCACCTTCCTGTCCTTCCTGAAGCCCACGGTCAATGCATACGCCCTCAACAGCATCGCCATACACATCCTGTACATCGTGTACCGCGAGTACCGGAAGTAAGTGGAGGCGGCGGACCCTCGTGTCCCCGCCCGTCACCCCCGGGAACTCATGTGCTCTGGGCCCTGACTCCTTGACCCCAGGCCCTGGAGGGGAGGCCCCTTCCCCAACATCACCCACAGCAAGTGGCAGGGCCAGGACCCAAACCTAAGTCTATCTGACTGCAGATCTGGTCCTTTTTACAGGGAACCCCTAAAACACGCATCTGAGAGGAGAGAACAGCCCATAACCTCCACTCACCCATTAACCAGCCCAGCAACCATGGACATTTTGCTCTTGATGGGTTACATTTTTTCCCCTGAATCTCATATACATTTCAACTCTAAACCTCTCAGGATCTAACTCCCCTGATAATTATGGTTTTTAACCCCCATTGGGTCTTAGCAGGATAGAGAAGGGTTTCTCAAACAGGGATATTTATGGAAAATTGAATGAAGATTATTCACAACACAGAAGTCGGGGTATAGGAAAATCACTGGGGCTTGTTTAGCATCTCTGTGCTGATAAGAGTGGGATTCTATGTCTAGCTGGAGACCCAAGGCCAGGGGTGATGGGAGAGGAGGAAGGAGGAAGAGGCCACAGGATCCAAGAAGCCCCAGGAGAGAGGAGGCTTAGCAGGACTCTGATTTCTAGTTGCTGGTTGCATCCAGCCTGAGGCAACCCTGCTGGAAGAAGTAAATCTCCTAACACTACCCTCCTTTTTCCCCTTTGATTTCCTGCCCCTGCCAGGGCTCCACATTGACCAACCCAACTGGAAGCCATTAGCTAATCCAGGTAGAAACCACTGGCCAGTCCAGGTAGAAACCACTGGCCAATCCAATTAGAAGACTCTGGTCTAGCCAACTGGAAACTAATGGCTGACTGAACTGGAAGTTCAAGGACAAGGGAGCCCTGGGATTTGGTCTGCACAGGTGGACAGCCCAACACATCCCCCAGATGCACAGGGGTAGATAGAGAAGGAAAGGGACAGTCTCAAAAGACAGATGGGAGGTATAGGGCACGCTCACTCTGTACAAAGTTAATGGTGCTCCTTAAGACAGCACCTAACATTGTGTGTGGAATGGCCTCAGTTTCTGAGAGGTGCCTGGCTGTGTTTAAATAAAGACCTCACCATGGTCTCGCAGCTCCCCTTTATTTCATAGGTCTCTTCTCCCATCCCCCTTTCTTCACGCCTTTGATTTTTTTTTTTTTTAAAGAGAATTATTTGTCTGTAGCACAATTCATGTTCTGGATTTGGCCAACCGTTTCCTCTGGCATCTTTAAGTTTTCTCGTACCCTGTATTTCCTGCAAATTAAGAGTTGGATCTAGGTCTGTTCTTCCTTTGTTTTGGCCAGAATATTTCACGGTGGCATCGTTGGTTCCTGTCCATCCCCAGAGCCCGCCCTGCAGGGTTTGGATGTCTCCATGGACAGGTCCCCTTGGAGGGTTAGGGCTGGCTAGAGGATTTGGCTGGTTTCACCAACATTTGCAGATGTTTCTCCACCAACTTCCAGCAGCTTGAGTCAAGTTGCTGGGGCCATGACCTGGCTAGCAGCAGTGAAAGGGTGGCTTGCACCTTCTGTTGTCCTTACCTGGAGTTTTTCCACCCAGAAGGACTTTTGCTAATCAACCTTGAAATCCAGTTTGAACAAGTTGCATAGATAATTGACTTTTTCCTTTTATCTATTGACTTCCAGAGTAATGAATTGGTGCCCTAGGAGTCTCTAGTGGAGACCCATGAAGCAGATTTTTTATTATGAACATAAAGGTTTTTATATCTCTGACATGTTTTAATGCATGACAGTCATTAGACTGTTTTTAAAATCTTTTAAATTTTTAAATAATTACAGATTTACAGAAAGTTGCCAATATAGCACAGAATTATCATGTACTTCTCCCCAGTTTTCCCCAAAGGGAACAGCTTATGCAACCCAAGTATATCTCAAAAGGAAGAAATCGATGTTGATATACTGCTGTTAACCAGGTTACGGGGTTTAGGCCGACTCTCCAGTTCGTACTCACAGTGCATTTTGATGTTCAGGCTGCTCAGTTCTAGGTGAGTGAACACAGTCTAAGCTTTTAACCAAAAAGGAGCTGCTGTCTCATTTATCCGGGTCACGCTCTTTGCCAAGGAGCCCCGGGGTAGCTCTGTTGCTGGGAAACACAGGCGTGGCCTCCAGAGAGTGCACCCTACCCCAGACACACACTCACTGTGACACACATAGTCACACTCCTGCAATACACAGACACATGTCTTCATGCACTGACCCAGAGGGACACACGCTTATAACCCCAAATACACAAACCTAGAGGGACTTGCTACATAGGAACACAGATTACACAATCTGACCAGCGAGGATTGGATCCCAGCCCTGCCACATCTCAGCCATGCAACCATGGGTGGGACTTGACATCACCACCTGTACCGCAGTTTCCTCATTGACAAAGGTGCTTTGAGGACTGGGTTAACACCTGCCCCTGGGTCCTGTCAATTCTCAGCAGTTCTCTGCTGCTGGAGCACACACCTGACATGAATCAACTGACACAGAGGAGGGGCACGCTTGGCCCATGGCTGTGGTGGTTTCAGCCATGATCAGTTGGCCCCGTGGCTCTTGGGTCTGTGGTGAGGCCCACGTCATGGCAGGGGCACTTGGAGTGGCAATGAGCCACTCTCCTTGTGGCCGGAGGCAAAGGCAAGAGGAAGAGATCGGGGCCGTGATTTGCTGCAAGGGCATATCACCAATGGCCGGACCTCGTCCTTCCAGGCCCCGCCTCTAAAAGCTTCTGCTCCTCCCAACAGGACCAAGCTGGGGACCAAGCCTCTGACACCCAGGTCTGTGGGGAATATTCCAGATCCAAACTAGAGCAGGCACCAACTTGAACCCAACCCCTCCCCTCCCCTCTTCCTGGCTCCAGCCTCATCTGGGATGGAGGAGTTCTGCATCAGCCCCTTGGCTCTGCGCCTGAGCCCAGCCTCATCTCCCTCCCTCCCCTCCCTTCCTCCCTCCCCCAGGAGCAGCAATAAGGAGCTTCGGCACCTGATCGAGGTGTCCGTGGTTTTATGGGCCTGTGCGGTGACGAGCTGGATCAGCGACCGCTTCCTTTGCGGCTTCTGGCAGCGGATTCATTTCTTCTACCTGCACAGTATCTGGTGAGCACCTGCCCTGGACCCTGGGACCCCACCACCAGAGAGCCAGGAGCTGGGAGGCCAAGTGGGAGGAGACCCCGACGCCAGGGCTGGGGAGTGGGGGGAGACGGAGGCTGGGGACTGGACCCAGAAGGCCCCTTGGGAAAGTGAGATCCGCGAGAAGCAAGGAGAGGAGGCGGTGGCGCGGGGACATCTAGTGCCCTCAGCACCTTCTCCCTGCACCCCACAGGCACGTGCTCATCAGCATCACCTTCCCTTACGGCCTGGTCACCATGGCCTTGGTGGACGCCAGCTACGAGATGCCAGGCCAAACCCTCAAAGTCCGCTACTGGCCGCGGGACACTTGGCCCATGGGGCTGCCCTATGTAGAAGTCCAGGGCGATGACAAGAGCTGCTGAGGCTGTGGTCACCTGCAGGGTCACCTGTATCTGAGGGACACTCGCGGTTCCTCGCCTTTCCCTTTCCCAGGCCCCTTGTCCTGTACTTCCCTGCCCCGAGGCAGGGGATGAGCTCCCTAGTGGTCCTGAGCAGCAGTCTACTGACCTGGGGAGGACTGCCTGCACCTCCCCCTGCCACGCCCTGCCCCGGCCTCTTTCTCTTCCTCCTCTTTCCACAGATGTCACATGATCTGGTGGGGTCGAGTCACCAGTTGCTGGGATGACTGGGTGGTGTGTCACCTGCTTGGCATGACCCAGGCTGAGGCCTGCTGTCTGGCATCTTGTATGTATTGGTGATCTGGGTCTGTGGTTGGACATTGGGTGACCATGTCCCTGGTACTTGGGAGCATCCCAGAGAACACACATGACTTGTGGGTACCCAATCTTTTTTTCTTTCTTGGTGCTGGGGATTGAACACAGGGGTGCTTTTATCACTGAGACACAACCCCAGTCCTTTTTATTTTTAACTTTGAGACAAAGTCTCACTAAATTGCTCAGGGTCTCACTACATTGCTCAGGTTGGCAAGGGACTTGTGATCCTCCGGCCTCAGCCTCCCGAGTTGCTGGGATTTGATGTACATCACTGCACTCAACCCAGACACCCAATTGTATAGCCACAAGTGCATGCAGAGACCTCACAGACCTCCCACGCGTGCCTGTGAACTCATGGGGAACAAGTCATGAATGGGAAACAGCTGAGGGAAATGGAAGCCCACACTGGACAAACCAAGCACCACGGAGCGTGGGGCATCAGAGAAGAGCTGGGCAGCTGGTACCGCTGTGGTGGGGTAGGAGGATGCTTTTCAGGGTGGTTAAGAGCCTATGGCCTGGGGCCAGACAGACCCAAGCTTGAATTCCCACTTGACCATTTCTAGCTGTATCATCTTCAGGATGTGATTTATCCTACTTTTGAAGTTCAAGCCTCTTGTCCATAAATAGTGTTTCTTCCTTCATAGGAATTTTCACGTGCACAAAACAAGTTGACGTATGTGACATGCTTAGTATATGTCTTGCAAACACCCATCCATCTGCCCATCCTCTAATTTATCCATCTATCCACCCATCTGTCCATCCATCCTTCTATCCATCCTTCCGTCCATTCAGTTTAGCCAACCATTTGTTTATTCATTAATCTGCCTAAGTTATCCAGTCCCCTTCCTGTGCATCTTCCTCCTGTTCATTCATTCATTCATTCATTCATCCCTTCAACAAAGGTACACATGGAGTTCTAGCTACAGGCCAGACACTAGGTTCTTTGCAAGACAGCTGACATTGAAGTCCCTAACCCAAGGAAGGAGACAGATGTTAGACAAACAAGAAGATGCAGGACCAAGGCACTTAGAGACACCAATGGGTGTTACAGAGAAGTGAATCAGCAATGTTCCAGGGAGTGATGGACTGGAGAGCCGTCCTCTCAAATGGGTGCTCAGGCAGGGTGCCCAGGGGATGGCAAGCATCCCCTTGTGGAGCGAGTGAACTTGCAAGCAAGAGCAACAGAAAGCGAACTGTTGCCTAAGCTTAGTAAATGAGGAGGAACACATTAGTTGGAGGTTCTTGAGAGCCCTGAATGGGTTTCAGTGTCCATGACGATTTCACATTGTCTGCAAAAGATTAGTGTTGGGGCAAATCACCTAGGCCTCTGGAGTGCATACCTTCAGATAGACATGAACACTCACATATTATAGTTGTGGCCCACCAGAGAGGGCAAGTGACCTGCTGAAGATCACACAGCCTAGGCTTGAAGCTAGGTCAGCCTTTCCCCAAAACTCTTTGTATCACTGTCATCAGTAGAATTGAACCTGGATTCTGGGTCTCCTGCTTCTGGGTCCTTCTGTTTAGTTTTAGAAACCAGAGGATCTTCATCTGTGGCTGATTGAGGTACTAGAAGGAGGAGTTTCTGTAAAATTGTGACATTATCTACCAAATGCTGTGTGTCTGGGTATGTTTGGGGGCATAGGAGATGTGCTTCCATGAAATTCCCTAAAGGGCTCTTTGACCCCCTATAAGTTAAAAACTTCTGGGGTATACCCATAATCCCAGAACTTGGGAGACTGAGGCAGGAGACCACAAGTTCAAGGCCAGCCTGGGCAACTTAGCAAGACCCTATCTCAAAAATAAAAAGGGCTGGGTGTAGCTCAGTGATAAAGCACCCCTGGGTTCAATCCCCAGTAAACCCCCACCTCCCAGAATTAAGGTTCAGAAATCTCTCAGGGTGGCTGCGGGGGGGTGAAGTGGTAGGAGAAGCTTCTCCCCCATTTCTCTTTCCTTTCTTTCCTGGCTTATGTGGCTCTGGTGTGAAATCTAAACAGCTTACCAACAGGTGACACAAAAGGGGCACCTACTGAGTCTGCTTACTTTCATGTGCGGAGCAGGCAGATCCACAGAGACAGCAATCTGTGGTTGCCAAAAACAGGGAGGGGTGTGAGTCACTAATGGCTCCATGGGCATGGTTTCCTTTTGGGGTGATGTTTGCACAACATCGTGACAGTTCTAAACACCACCCTGATTGGACACTTTAACGTGGTTAATGGTTAAATGTTGTGTCAGGTAAATTTGACCTCTATTGGGGGATGCCGTACAAGCCGAACTTGGCCGCGCACATGCCCGCCACCGCCCTCAACGCCACTGGAAGTGTCCACTCACCTTCCACCAGCATGGCAGCAGCCTCCCAGTACCGCCAGCTGCTGAGTGACTATGGGCCACCATCGCTGGGCTACACCCAGGGAACGGGAATAGCCAGGTGCCCCAGAGCAAGTATGCGGAACTGCTGGCCATCATGGAAGAGCTGGGGAAGGAGATAAGACCTGCCTATGCAGGGAGCAAGAGCGCCATGGAGAGACTAAAACGCATCATTCACACACGAGGACTGGTTCTGGAGTGCTTGGCTGAAACGCCAGGTCCTAGCCTCCCCGCCAGCTTGGGGGTTCCTGGCTCTCTACAGCTCATCTCTCCTGTTCAGATGAAATACTCATTTTCAAAATGGTAACAGTTTAGTTTTTTTCTCCCAAGGTTCACAGTCTCAAAATATTGGGAAAAGATTTCGAAGTTAATTAGGATTTGCATTTTAAGTAGTTAGGAACAACCCAGGTTGTTTTTGTTTTTGTTTTTTATGATGCACGTGAAGTTATTTTACAGCAAACTGTTGTTTGGCTCCAAGATACCAGTGTCTCCCTTTAATCTTTTGAATACTTTATGTCACCCAAATTGTTATTTGTACCTTTTCATAAGCTCATTTGATCCCAACGCCTTTGTTTTAATGCATCCTGACCACCTGCTTCACTTAGCTGGTCCCATGTGCCATACAGTGTAGATTCTGCTTACTGGCACTTCTTTTTTGCTTAAGCATTTGCATGACTCTTAGTGCTTTGAAGTCAATTTTAAGAGTGCACAAGTTATAAATACAGAAGAAAGAGCAACCTACCAAATCTAATAAGGACCCCGAAAATTTTCATACTAAGATTGTATGTAGATTTCAGTTTGTGTTTACTGTAAGTTGATCAAAACATCTGGAAGAAAATGACTAAAACTGTTTGCATCTTTGTATGTATTTATTACTTGATGTAATAAAGCTTATTTTCATTAACAAAAAAAAAAAATTGACCTCTATTGAAAACTTAAGAAACTTTCAGAGTCAATCATGGACAAGTTTAGGTCAGGGGCCCATCTTTAAACCAGTCCCAGTAGCCAGAGGGATGCATGCCTTTGGATTACTCAGGCCAGAGGTGGACTTCCTCACTGGGAGTGGGGGCAGGGTAGTTCCACAGGGTGTGTGGTCTCAGCATGGGGGAGGGGGGAGCAGTCCTCTCTGAAGCCTGTGACCTGCCATTAGCTGGCATTGTCCCAGGAGGGTGCTAAAACTTCACACAGAGGTGCCTTAAATGCTTACGCTGGCCCTGGGAGGAGGGAGCTCCCAAATCAGGAGACCATTACCAGAAAAGGGGGTGGTTTAAGAGGGGAAATCCACATGTGCAGGGCGCTGCTGCTTTTGAGCAGGTCTTCTTGTTGCATATTTTCGGTTCACTCCCAAACCATTCAGGGTTCCCCATGGCTTATGGATGTCCAAGGCCTCAGTGTGACAATCAAGAATTTCTCTGCCTTAAAGACCCACACTCCAGCAGGTCTCTGCTGGCTGGCCACGAGGCGCTGCTGGAGATGGTCACCTTGGTGTCACCTTTGACATTGTGACAGGTGGCTGTGTGTACATTTGTGGCTGGCTGCCAAACTGTGAGGTGCAGAGAGCAGAGGCTAAGCCTGAAAGAGGGTCCAAAAATGTCCCCAAGGGCTGGACTAGCTACAAGGGGAAATGCAGGTGACCCTTCAGGTCCTCCCCTTGGGTGCAAACAAACCGGATCACTAGAGGGCGGTAGAGACTGGACGGAGCCGGGCTGCACACAGAGCAGATGTCAAAAGGCAGGCAAACTGCTCCTCTGAACTGTGGGGCCTGGGGGGCGGGAGTGGAATGCCCAGTCTATATCTGTTTCATTTTTTTGTGACATTGAGATAGCACGTAAGATGCTGCCGTTAAACAGATTTAACATGACCAATTACAGATCCTCAAATAATCACTTTTTCTGTTTTTAAAAAAATCTATTCTCTTTGCTTACATTGATATGTTAAAGAAGGAAACATTGTATCCTCTGGTAAGTGATTTGTTATAGGTCAAAAGTATCCACAAAACTAGATACAGTAACACGAAAAGTGTTAGTAACTGTAGCTCAGTGCTGCTCTGGAATCCCCCACTGGGGGGGGGGGAAGCAGAGGGGTGGTCTCTGCCGCTCCCCAAGAAGGAAGCCAGAATTCCTGGGGCAGAGCCTGGGTATATTTTAAAGGTCCCCAGGGGATTTCGATGTCAGGTAAGGTTGGGAGACCTTGCATAGAAACTACCACCTACAAGGGTGGGCTCTGACCCCCAGGGCTGTTTTCTTTGTCATCAAGACAGGTGACTTAAAAAAATAATGCTCATTTATTTCTCTCGCAAATTTGCATTTTTAAAAAGTTGCTAGGGAGACGTCAAAGATGAATAAGCATCAAGCTAACACTTTCTCTTAGAAGAAATCAGGGGGACTAGAAAAAAAATGACAAGAAGCTAAGCTTCTCACTATTCAGTATCATTTCATTTTTGCAACAAATATTTATCGAGCACCTATTATGTGCCAGGCACTATGCTTAGAATATATCATGAAAAAGAAAAAAATATATTGTTCTCTGGGAGCTGCCATTCGAGCTGGGGGAGATGGACAAAATTTAATAAGCAACTGCGTGTGTATCAGTAGGTTGTAAGTGTGGCGGAAACAGGGAAAAAATTAAAGAAGGAGGAAGAGCATTGGGGGACTAAGGTAGAGTGACAGGATAAATAAGGTAGTCAGAAGAGATCCCACCGAGAAGGTAATTTGAGCAAAGTTTTGGAGGAGGTAAAGTGGGGAGCCAAGTGGCCTCTTAGGGGAGATGGTTCCAGGCAGAGGCTGCTCAGTGTGTCCAGGAAAGAGCGGGCAGCAGGCAGTGAGGGAAGACGTAAGAGAGGGTGTCCACACCAGGCTACCCTTCTGGTCCTTGACCTTGCAGACAATGCTGCAGACTAAAGGCTTCACTTTATTTAAGGGCAAATTAAATAATGTTTGTAATCATCATCTGTAATTACTCAGGGTAAGGGTTTTGGAGATAATGTTTTGGAAAAATGTACATTTTCCAAAATGGCTACAACAGTACCTCTACCCCACATGCCTGTTCCCCTTCTACCCTTCCTCCTCCTCTTCTTTCTTTTTTTTTTTTTTTTTTTTTTTTGGTACTGGGAGTTGAATCCAGAGGTGCTGTACCACTGAACTCCTCAGCAATTTTTATTTTGAGACAGAGTCTCACCCAGGCTAGCCTGGGACTTGGGATCCTTCTGTTCCAGCCTCCCAAGTCACTGGGATGACAGGTGTGTGCCACTCTTCCTGCCCCACATGCTCTTCTTATAATGTAACTTTTACACTCCTCCAGTGAACAGATGGGTCTCTGTTCCTTCCCCCTTGAACCTGGGTGTGCTTGGACTATAGTGGAAGTGACTCCATGTAACTTCCAAGGCTAGGTTATACAAGGCCATGCAACTTTTGCCTGATTCTCTCGGGACGTTTATTCTTGAGATTCAGCCGCCATGCCACAAGGAAGCCCAAGCCACCCTGAGGAGAAACCCAGCACTAACTTTGGCAGTTGTGGATGAGTGAGCCGTGGAGGGTGATCCTCCAACCTCAGGGGTTGTTCTAGCTGTCCATGTTGCCCAAAGTGCAGATGCATGAACCAAGTAGGTTGCGTTGCTAACAATGCTCACTGAACTAGGATGACAACAGCATGGCTCTTCTGTTGAAAATTTATTTCTCCTTCTTGGCATCTAGCAGGCATCCACAGGGGCTGGTTTCAGATTATCAGAAGTGGAGATGAAGGTCACCTTCTAAGGTTGTGAATGAGTTTTGTTGCTCCAATATGGACTCATGGATACGTTATATGTTTATAGGGCCGAGTAGTCATTCCATATATATCTATATCTCTCTCTCTATTTTTTAACCTTTAAATCATTTTCAAATGTCCAGTTCTGTGGTGTTCAGCACATCTCCATGGCTGTGCAATCATCATCTCCATCCACCTCCAGAACTTTCCATCTTCCCAGACTGAAACTCCATCCCCATTTCTCCATCTCTTCCCCAGCTGCCTGCACCTACTGTGCTGCTGGTCCAGTCTCTATGGATGTGAAAACTCTAGGGACCTCCTATGAATGGAACTGCACAGTATTGTCCTTCTGTGACTGGCTTGTTTCATGAACTTGGAGCCCTCAAGGTTCATCCACATTGTAGCAGGTCTTGGAATTTCCTTCCTTTTAAGGCTGAATGATATTCTACTGGATGGTGGACTGCATTGTGTTTCTCCATTTAACACCTGGGTTGCTTCCTCATTATCCTTTTTGACTCTCCAAGGCATCCAGCTCCACCAGCAGGAGCCCCCGGGGATGCATTTTGAAAGTTATAGTTCAGAACATGATTGAAGGATAATTTCCCAGCTGAGTAGGGACAGGGCTTTCCGAAGCTCATCTTTGTAACAACTGTAGCTCAAAGGTTCTCCCCTGAAAGCTTCCTTCAGAGCAGATGGCTACTCTCTCCCCACTTCTGTTCCTTTTCCTGGGGTTGGGAGGTGTTCTGAAAGACCAGCCACCTCAGCCATCTGCAGCGCTGCTTAACTACTGAGTGCTGGGCAAGCACTGAGCTTCTGATTCTATAAACGGGAGAGGGAGTCAGGATCTTTATTCCTAACAGAGTTCCCAGGTGGTACTAACACTGCAGATTTGGGGACCACCTACTGATCTACTTATAGTATTCAGGTATAACGATGAAAATAAATAGTTGTACCAACATTACAGTTGCTGCTTATTTTCTCAGCATCACCTCCAATTTATTTTTGTTTCCAGCCTGACTACCCTAAATTCAAAAGGATGGTAGTGCTATCATAACAGCGATCTGGCCTTAGACAAACTTCCATTCCACTGTTTTTTGTTGTTGCTGGTCTTCAGGACAAAGCACTTGTCCCACCTAACAAAGGCTTACCTGATACTTAAATGAGAATTGGGACAAACCAAAACAAACCAAAACCACCTGATTTTTAACTATAAGAAATTATTTTAAATACATACACAGGGATCCCCTAATTGCAGGTAGAAGTCCTAAGGTTCCAAAGACTGGTGACTACCAATCCTGAGAAAGACCAGGGTATGTCCGTTTCTAACCTAAAAACCGCTGACAAGTCCCTGTGAAAATTTGTGATCCTAAAAATTAAAACCACAAGTTGGAGAGACCAATTTTATTTAAAATTTCATGCATTAGACTTTAACAATTTCTAAAAAATATAGATATATATATTTTAGTTGTTGAGACCTTTATTTTATTTATTTATATGTGGTGCTGAGAATGGAATCTAGAGCCTCACACATGCCAGGCAAGGGGTGCTACCACTAAACTACAACCCCAGCCCCCCACCCTCTGCAAAGACTTTTAAAATTTTTATTGACCCATTTGTATATACTCACCCGCACAAGGTGATGCTTCCATACAAGTATACACTGTGAATGAGAAACTTGGGGTAATCAGTATATCTGTCATCTCATATTTATTGTTTTTGTCATGAAAACGTTAAAATCCACTCTTATTGTCGCACGCAGTGCCACAAGCCTGTAATCCTAGCAATTCAGAAGGCTGAGGAAGGAGAATCGCAAGTTCAAGGCCAGCTGGGAAACCTAATGACATGTCTCAAAAATAATTCAATAAAAAGGGCTGGGGATGTGGCTCAGTGGCAAAGCACCCCTGGGTTCAATCCCCAGTACCAAAAAACAAACAAACAAACAAACAAACAAACAAACACTCTTCGCAATTTAGCGATATATGTCATTATTTGCTGGGCATGGTGGCATGTGCCTGTAGTTCCAGCCACTCAGGAGGCTGGGGCAGGAGGATGTCTAGGGCGCGGAAATTTGATACCCAGCCTTGGCAATGTAGCGAGATCCCAGTCTCTAAATAAATACATAAAATAAACATACAACATTATTAACTATGGTCCCCTTGGTGTGCAAAAGATACCAGAACTTATTCCCCCCGACTGAGAGAAGCAGGCTCTTTTGATTATTTTACCGAAGCACGATGTCGGCCGTTGCTACTCTTGTCCCCATTTTACAGATGCAGAGACAGATTCAGGACGAGGCGAGCACTCGCAGACTCCAGGTTGAAAATGAATCCCTAGTTGTAGAACTCATTCCATCACACAGTAGCTATTCGCAGCCGCACGACAAATGCCCCCGGGGTTCACTCCCCGGGGGCCCAAGCTGCAACCCGCGGGGCGCGGGAGAGACGCTCCCGCCTGGCTGCCTGGCCGCCTTGCGCAGGCGCGACGCGCCCGTCCCGCCCCCGCCCCCCTCCACGTGCGGCGCACACCTCGCGCTCCCCTCGGCCGCGTTCGCCTCGCGCCTCCCTCCCTCCCTCCTCCCGCCCCTCTGGTCCCGGCCTCCC